TCGTGATCTGCTGGCCTCGGACTCCCAAAGTGCTGGGATTACAGGTGTAAGCCACTGCGCCCAGCCCTCTTGCAGCTCTTTAATGCCTGGAAAGTCCTTATTTTGCTTTCATTTTTGAAAGACATTCTTACAATTCTGGATGCATAGTTATTTCTTCCAATGCTTTAAATGACGGTTTCCCTGGGTCCTCACCCGCAGTGTTCCCAGTGAGAAATCCACTGCCAGCACATGGTTATTTCTCTGTGTATAACGTGTCTTTTTTATATGGCTGCTTTTAGAATTTTTTTTCTGTATCTCTTGGTTTTAGCAATTGGATTTTCCTCTAAGCCTTAGTTTGTCTGTAAAGCAATTTGATTACTGGTGTGCCTTGGTGTTATTTTGTGTGTGTGCACTTAGGGTTCATTGAGCTTCTTGGATTTGTGGATTTAGGGTTTTTGACAAATTTGGAAATTTTTCAGTCATTATTTCTTCAAATAATGTTTTCTGCCCACCGTGCTTTCCAGTATTCCAGCTGTGTATGTAGGAGTTCTCAGAGTGGTTCCACAGCTCACTGGTGCTCTCTTCAATTTTTAAAAATTATTGTTTTTTCACGCTGTGTTTCAGTTGAGCGGGTTTTTGTTGGTTTGTCTTCCAGTTCACTCATCTTTTCTTCTGCACGTGATGCTGTTGAGCTCATCCAGTTTGTGTGCTTACATTCCAGGCATTGTCGTTTTCAGCTCTAAATGTTCTGTTGGAGTCTTTCAAACATTTCCTAACATGTTTCTACTTAATTTTCGAACCTATAGAATACAGTTATACCAATGGCTTTATTTACTTACTTACTTACTTATTTATTTATTTAAGACAGAGTCTCTTTTTCCCAGGCTGGAGTGCAGTGGCGCAATCTTGGCTCACTGTAACCTTTGCCTCCCGTGTTCAAGCGATTCTCCTGCCTCAGCCTCCCGAGTAGCTGGGATTACAGGCACACACCACCACGCCTGGCTAAGTTTTGTAGTTTTAGTAGAGACGGGGTTTCACCATGTTGCCCAGTCTGGTCTCAAACTTCTGACCTCAGGTGATCTACCTGCCTCTGCCTCCCAAAATGCTGGGATTACAGGTGTGAGCCACCACATCTGGCCCACCAATGGCTTTAATGACCTTGTTTGCTAATCCAGCATCTGAGCAAAAGCCGGATTTTTTGATTGACTGGGTTTTTCCTCCCCACTGTGGGTCATGTTTCCTGCTCCTTTGCACATCTGGTAACCTGTAGCCAATGCCAGGATGTGGGTGGGTTTTACAAAACTTGTATAGTGCTAGGGACTCTTCTTCCTGTAAATGTTCTTGAACTTTGTTCTGGAACTCAGCCAAGTCACTTGAAACCCGTCAGATCATATTGGATTTTGCTTTTCAGGTTTGTTAGGTGGGTCTGGAGCCACTGAGGCAGGTCCCTCCACTGTCCTCCAGCCCACAGCCTGTGAACAGAGAGTGTGGCCTGTCTGGCTGTGGGGAAAGGCCCTGGCTTTGAGTGCACGTTCTCCACAGGCTTGTGGCTGCTGGTGTCCTGCCAGATGACCCAGGTGGAAATGCACAGATCTCTGGACCCTCTCTTGGAGCTCTGTTTTCTGTCTGAGCATCCGGAGGCCCTGCCTGGCTCCCTCCCGCGCCGTGGTTGGAGCTCTGGTGGCAGTGAGGCTGGGCAGCCACAGGCTCCCTCACAGGCTCCGCCTCTCAGGGCACGGTCCTTCCCTGCCTGGTGCCTGGTGTCTTGACAGCCATGGTCACGGGTTTTGACTGTCTTGTTTTACTCTTCTGGTTCTTTTAGGTGGGAAGGTAAATCTGTTCTGATCTGTATCACCCCATCGTTTCAGGAGTGCGGTTGCTCACCAGGTGTAGGCCAGGCTTGTCGTAACTCAGCAGACTTCAGAAAGGCTGGGCGTTTGAACAGTCCCAGGGTGGAAGGATCTTAGGTGAACTGGAAGCTCTCAAAAATGTAATTCTGGGGTGGGGCGTGGTGGCGGATCACCTGAGGTCAGGAGTTTGACAGCAGCCCGGGCAACATGGTGAAACCCCGACTCTACTAAAAATACAAAATAATTAGCTGGGCCTGGTAGCACACACCTGTTATCCCAGCTACTGGGGAAGCTGGGGCACGAGAATCGCTTGAACCCCAGAGGCAGAGGTTGCTGTGAACCAAGATTGTGCCAGCTGCACTCCAGCCTGGGAGATGGAGTGAGACTCCGCCTCGAAAACAAATAAAACATAATTCTGGTTATAAAATCATAAATCCTTCCGATAAAGGAAAAAGAAAAGAGGCCCCTAAGCAAGCAGCATTTTGTTCAAGGAGCCCTCAAATGTGTGGAGGAGGGAAAGCAGAAACAAAGAGCGGAGGGATGGAAAAGCCCCACAGCAGCCAAGGCTCTTCAGGAAATCCACTGAGGCGGACACACGGAGTCTGCTTTTAGTTGTCTCTTTTAGAAGTCACGACACAGTGAAGCCCATGCCTGGGGCTAGCCGGGTTTGTGGATGAAGATACTGGAGACAAGGCCACTAGATTTCTGTTCTGCTTTTATCTTCACGCTCACTGAGCTGGAAAGCGTTGATGCCGCAGCGTGGAGTTGGGAGGGGACTGCAGGAGAGCACCGGGTGTCTCAGAAGAGCCGGTGTCCTTCTCTCTTGGGGGTGAGACTCTGCCGACCTGCAGAGCCAGTCCCTGGGATGTGGCAGCGACCCTGGATGGGAGGCGGGGCCGAGCTCAAATGGAAGCAGAGCCTGCGGGGAGGAGACCGCACCCCTGCAGGGCTCTGCCTTGGCCCGGAGCCGCCTCAGCCCCCGCAGCAAAGCGGACAGTCAGGCGGGGCTTGGTTGATGGCTCTGGGAAGATCGCTGACATTCCCGAGGGGAAGGAGGTGCAGCCGGCCCTCCCAGACACGCGCAGAACAGAACCCACTTAAGGAGCGTGAAACGCTCACGTGCTTTAATCCAACAATCCTGCCTCTGAGGAAGCATCCTTGAGAAATAATGTAGAAAATAAAAAGCACTGGAATATTTGCTGGCAATGTATTCCAGAAATATACCCACAGAAACAAACCAAGTGTTCAGTACAGGAAAGGTCCGGAAGCTGAGTGACTGTCGGCGATGGGTCCGGAGGCGGTTCCGACGCCGCCCCGCGTGGACCGTCGTGGAAACAAACCAAGTGTTCAGTACAGGAAAGGTCCGGAAGCTGAGTGACTGTCGGCGGAGGGTCCGGGAGGCGGCACCTGGCCGCGCCCTGGGCTGGCGGACTGGGCCGTGATGGTCCGGGAGGCAGGCCGACACCGCCCGCGTGGCTCCGCCGTGATGGGTCCGGAGGCGGCCTGACACCGCCCGCGTGGACCGGGCTGATGGGTCCGGGAGGCGGAGCCTGGGGCCGCCCCGCGGTGGACTGGCCGTGATGGGTCCGGGAGGCGGTTCCGACGCCGCCTCTCGCTGCGGACCGGCCGTGATGGGTCCGGGAGTGCCCGGATTACTTCGCTGGTGGACCGCCGATGGGTCCGAGGTGTTCCGGACGCCGCTTCGTGTGGGACCGGGTCGCGGTGATGGGTCCGGGAGGCGGCTCCGACACTGCCCCGCGTGGACCGGCCGTGATGGGTCCGGGAGGCGTTCGACACCTGCCCCGCTGCGGGACCGGGCCGTGATGGGTCCGGAGGCGGTTCCGACACTGCCTGCCGAACTGGGCCGTGATGGGTCCAGAGGCGTCTCTGGCCACATTCCCAAGGTGGACCCTCCTGATGGGTCCCGAGGCGGTTCCGCGCTGCCCCGCTGTGGACCCTCCTGATGGGTCCGGAGGCGGTTCCGATGCTGCCCCGCGTGGAAGGCGCTCCTCGCGTGGTGCCAACTGGAGGAGGCCTCAGCACCTGGGAGCCTCTGGTGATGACGGAGGGTCAGGGACAGACGGGCATCAGGCGTAGGAAAGGGGCACGGGCCTGTTCCTCATTCTACCTATCGCTGTTTTATCTCTGGGGCGATCGAGTTAGGGATACTTCATTGTTCTGATTTATATTTGTGGCTGCCTGGCAGAGTTGAACATTGTCTTATGTTTACCGTTCATCTTTTTCTTACCTACCGTCTTTATTTTCTTCTCCTTTGCACATATTTTTTCAGAATTACAGTGTTCCAGTTTACTGTGTGATTATAAATCATCTATATTTTACACGTGGCACAAGTATTTCTCCACATTTTATTTGTTTTATTTAAAAGAGGCCTTTTTAAAAGTAAAACTTACTGGGTTTTTTTGAGACAGAGTTTTGCTCTTATTGCCCAGGCTGGAGTGCAGTGGCACGATCTCGGCTCACTGCAACCTCTGCTTCCTGGGTTCAAGCGATTCTCCTGCCTCAGCCTTGCGAGTAGCTGGGATTACAGACGCCCACTACCACGCCCGGCTCATTTTTTGTATTTTTAATAGAGACAGGGTTTTACCATGTTGGCCAGGCTGGTCTCGAACTCCTGACTTCAAGTGATCTACCTGCCTCTGCCTCCCCAAACGCTGGGATGACAGGCGTGAGCCACCACACCCGGCTCAAAATTTTAATTTAATCAAATTTGCATGTCTTTTTTCAAATCTTTCAAAAGCATTATCCTATCCTATGACTATACCCCTGTTTGGAAATGAATATAATTTTTAAAAATAGATGAAAGAAAAGTGCCTGCAAGTGTTAATGTGTTGAGATTAGGTTGATATAATTCTGGATGACCTTTTCCCTATTTTTACAATATTCTTTACTGTGATTATGCTACTTTTATAATTATGTTATTTTTACAATGAAAAAAACAAAACACGAAAGGATGTGCCTTCTAGAGTTGAGATGGGCACTAGGTTCCCATCTGGTGACCTGTGGCGCCCTTTCCACCTGGCCGTTGCTGAGAACAGCCACGCGCACTCCAGAACCTCTCCCCAGGCACGCGGGCTGCAGCTGCTGTGGCCGGGCCCCAGCACTGTGAGCCAGCAGGAAGCCTGCACTGAGCTCTGGCTTGTGTCTGTTCAGGAGGAGAACATTTGCCTGCACTGGGCGGCGTTCTCTGGCTGCGTGGACATCGCCGAGATCTTGCTGGCTGCCAAGTGCGACCTCCACGCCGTGAACATCCACGGAGACTCGCCGCTGCACATTGCTGCCCGGGAGAACCGCTACGACTGTGTCGTGTGAGTGTGGTGCTTCCCCTGGCTCGGGCTGGCGCTGACCTGACCTGGGCGCCCGGAGAGACCGCTCGATGGTCGTGTGTTCATACTTGGGCTCGAGTGGACACAGGCCCTCTGTTCCCTCCTGTGGAAGTCCGTCCTTGGTGTTCCACGTACAGAGAAGTGACTTTCCCAGTCCACGTTTGAGATCAGCTGTGGTTTATTTCTGGGTTAGGAGGATTGTCATGCAAAATTCCCAAGTTGTTAGGTCAGACCTTGAGTTGAGTCTCAGACCTGATGCTTCCTGACATGGCTGAGGGGCAGCGTGGGAACAGCCCTGCTCCCAGCAGGGACCTGCCAGCTCAGAGGCGCCGAGAGGCTCAGAGTGCCTTCTGGGAGCAGTGCCACCCACAGCCAGAGCTGGAAATGCTGGGGGCTGTGGCGCTCACCGCTCAGGGCCCTTTTAAAACTTGAGACCTTCAGCTGGGTGGCGGTGGCTCACACCTGTAATCCCAGCACTTTGGGAGGCTGAGGCAGGAGGATCACCTGAGGTCAGGAGTTTGAGACTAGCCTGGCCAATATGGTGAAACCCCATCTCTACTAAAAATACAAAAATTAGCCGGCCATGGTGGCACGTGCCTGTAACCCCAGCTACTCCCAAGGCTGAGGCAGGAGAATCGCTTGGACCTGGGATGCAAAGATTGCAGTGAGCGGAGATTGCGACACTACACTCCAGCCTGGGCGACAGAGCGAGATTCTGTCTTAAGAAAAAAAAAAAAACCCCAAAAACAAAAAAACTTGAGACCTTGATCCCTTAAGTCATACACACTTAGGTTGTTGTTGGTGGCCTGGGATGGAGTATTTGTTTGGCTGCTGCGGAAGGACAGGGAGCTGTGGGTGCTCCACGCACCAGCCTCCAGTGACTCCCCAGCCCCTACACGTGGAGCTGTGCCCTCCCACATTTGGATCTCACGGTGGCTCACCCAGGTTGGTCATCTGGTTGTGCGAAGCCCAGCTCCATGTATGGTGACTGCGGTCTGGACGCAGTGGGCAGGAGTGGAACTGAGGACTGCTCATGCTGTACATGGCCCAAGCGTGGCCTCTCTCCCTCCTTGCTTCCCTTCTTATCCTTGAGGGTACATTTAAATGAAAAATCCAAGAAAAATCAAATGCCATCCTGGTTTTTTACATACTCTTCCTGCTAAGAAAACAGCCTGCTGACTTTGAAAGTGAATATGGGAGAGGAGTAAGAGAGTCCCTGTTCCTGGGTGAGCTAAAGCCCGTCTTTGCAGAGTCATTGGTGAGCAGACTTCAAGTTATCTCACAGCAAATAGTGTGTTCCCTTTACTGTTAGTGATGATGGTCATTTTATAAATCTCATCTGTGTCATCTTTTCAAGTCAGCTTTAAATGTTTTGTGGCCTTACATTTTCCCTTTTAGCCTCTTTCTTTCTCGGGATTCAGATGTCACCTTAAAGAACAAAGAAGGGGAGACGCCCCTGCAGTGTGCGAGCCTCAACTCTCAGGTGTGGAGCGCTCTGCAGATGAGCAAGGCTCTGCAGGACTCGGCCCCCGACAGGCCCAGCCCCGTGGAGAGGATAGTGAGCAGGTGAGCCCGGTTCCGGGACGGCTCTGCGGCAAATCGGCGGCCAGCAGGGCTTTGGGAGTTTGCGGTGAAAGCCGCTCCCGAAGCTGAAACATCCCCAGGCTGGAGTTCAAACTCTCAGGGCCAGGTGTTTGCCAGCCACCCACTGCACGCCGTGCCACCCCCTGGGCAGAGTACGTCAGCCTCCAGGTGACACCTGCCCTTTCCGTGGCAGGGACATCGCTCGAGGCTACGAGCGTATCCCCATCCCCTGCGTCAACGCCGTGGATGGCGAGCCGTGCCCCAGCAACTACAAGTACGTCTCTCAGAACTGCGTGACGTCCCCCATGAACATCGACAGAAACATCACTCACCTGCAGGTGAGTGACACGGACGAAGGGCGGGCTCAGGCCAGGACGTGGGGCGGGCAGAAGCTTCTGGAACCTGGGGTCCTGGGTTCTTCTCACCACTCAGGGCAGGAGGGCTCGTGGGGGGCTTCCCAGGAAGACCTCGTTCTCTTTGCAGCTGCCTCCCGTGAAAGAGCTGGAAGGCAGATAAAGGTTCTGTCAGGCCCAGCCCTGAGCCTCTCACTGCTCTTCGGAGGCTTCTTACTGGCCCCAAAGCAACGGCATCTTTGTGCCTGTTTTTAGCCTCATACTCGGGCCCCTGTGTGGCCTCGTGCTGGTGGCACAGGCGAGAGGAGCCCCTGCGAGACCTGGTCCCTGCATCTCCCAGCCCCCGGAGAGATGGGTCCAGCACATGCCAGCTTTCCCAGCCTGAGTGCACAGAGCCTGGTGCCCTCACCGCCTGTACCTTCTTGAGCACTTTCTTTGTGGCTCTGCCTGTAGGCAGCTCCCTCCTCTTCCCAGGCCGGGCACTGCCCAGGGCCCCCCACTCAGGGTGTGCCAGGCTCTGCATTCTTGCCTTTCCCGTCGAGCATCTGGCCACAAATGCAGCCGCTGCCCAGCCCTTCACCCACCCCACGTCACCCGCTGCCGCGTCGCTGCCCTGCCTGCCCCGTCCCTCTGTCAGGGTCCTCAGCCAGAGAGCCCCTCCAGCGGGCACTCGACCCGCACACCCTTCACCCTAAGAGGCCACACACTCGTGGTGTCTTTGAGAAGCATTTAGCAGGATCGGGGTAACTGAGACGTGTGAAACGTAGTTGTGACTGGGAGGGAAACAGAAGGCCTGTGCCTGCCCATCTGACAGCCCCGGCGCCTCTCTCCTCAGTACTGTGTGTGCATCGACGACTGTTCCTCCAGCAACTGCATGTGCGGCCAGCTCAGCATGCGCTGCTGGTACGACAAGGTGAGGGCGGCCTCGTGTGCATGGGCTCAGGTGGTAAGTGCCACTGGTCCGGGTCTGCAGAAACAGTGCAGGCATCCGTGACCCCAGCGCTGTTGTGGCAGCGTTGGGAAGGAGTTGGAGGTGAGCTGGGTGTCACAGGCAGGGACGGCACAGTGGGCGCCGGCACCCAAGTCAGGGTTGTGAGCCGAGGACATGGCTGCAGAGTCCCTGGGGCTGGGGTCTGTATCCTTTGTGGCCACCTGGATGGTAGTGGAGGCGGGCAGCCAGGCAGCCTGGCTTGGCCCCAGGAGGAGGTGCTGCTTGTGTTGTGTGTATCTGGTGAGCTCTGCCTTGTGCTTGCTGAGTGTGAGGGGTGTGAAGAGGGAGGGTGCTGCTGGGCTGGGTACAGGGAGCATCGGTGTGGGTGTGGGGCTTGAGGAGACACAGGATTGGAAGTTTCTGGTGGGTGCTGGTCCTCAGAGGGGCCCGAGATGGTGGCCGCTGAGGAGGAGATGGGAGTGGGGACTGGCCCTGGCTAGCTGGGGTGCAATTCAGGGGAGGGATGTCTAAGCAGAGGCGGAGGGTTCCTGGTCTCCCGAGTTCAGAGGTCACGGTGGGGACAGAAGCCAGCATGGCCTGGGTGAAGAGATGCAAGCAGGGAGAGGCAGCAGGCGTCCCCTCCGGAAGTGGACTTTGGAGGAGGGTGGCCGTGGAGGGTGGCCGGAGTGTTTACCCATCTGAATGAGAGGCCCCAGTGGGAGAAGGATTCATGCCAGTGAGGGCCATGGAGGTGGCAGGCTCAGAAAGCCGCCAGGCTCATGTCCAAGTGGTGTCTTTTGGGGTGGACAGTCCTGCTGAAGGGGTGCAGGAAGGAATGTTCTGGGGAGCACCCTAATTGTTCAGGGCATCCCCTGAAGCCAGCAAGCCAGAGTGTGCCTGGGTAGCCCTGGGCCCCGCATCTCAGCTCACACAGCCCTGGGGGAGTACCTGCGCCCAGTGCTGCTGCACCTGGCCTGGCTTTGGGGGGTAGGAAGGGGAGCAGAGGGCTGGGTCCCTCCACGGTTGAGGATTTGCAAGGCAAGGAGGCCAGGAGTGCAGGAGGGTGCAGGAGGCCCCGACCAGCCGAAGGAGGCAGAGCAGCCCACGAGCCGGCAGCCTCAGTGATGTGGAGAAGCCCAGACTGGGGGCTGGGAAGGCCCTGGGTGGACAGAAACTGGCCCAGGCTGGGTCTGGGAAGTGCTCCAGGAGGTCTCCACAACCTGTGTGGGCATCTGGGTGGGGGCTTCCCATCCAAACCATACACATGGAGTTTTTCCTTAGGTGGGTGTTCAAGTTTGGCCAGAAACCACTGTTTTTATGCCAGTTTGAGCCACACTGGGTGGGCACTTAGTAGAAATGAGTTGATGTCAGCTCAGTTAAAGAGTGAGTGACCTCTGCTGGGCCCTTGCTGCTCGTCTGTCCACAGGACGGCCGGCTCCTGCCAGAGTTCAACATGGCGGAGCCTCCCTTAATCTTCGAATGCAACCACGCGTGCTCCTGCTGGAGGAACTGCCGAAATCGTGTTGTGCAGAATGGTCTCAGGTGAGAGGCAGCTTCCTGCCAGAGCCTCGTATTCTGCTCATGTGTGCATGAGCACGGAGGTTACCCCGACAGACAAGAACTTAACGTGTTTGGATGCACCCGCGTTGTGTTTGCAGATAGAGCCGACAGGTTACCTCTGAGCCCTTTATCCTCTGGAAATGTCACTGGTGCCGTAAATCACGAGTCATGCTTCCACCAGCTCAGACACAGGCCTGAGAGAAGGAGCAGATGGTTGGGTCAGTTGAGCTAAAAGCAGAGGAACGGACTTGGCCTAAGAATTACCTTTGTTACCAAGTTCACGCGAACATTCTTCAACAGATCAGGGCTGTCGTTCTATTTTAACACTCCAGTCATTTTCTAAATGTTCTTTCTTCTCTGGGCTTCTCTAACAGTGAGGTGATGTCCTAACACTTCTCAGGCGCGTGGACTCCTTGTTCCTGGCGCTTGGACTCCTGCTCAGGGCGCTTGTGGAGTAAGGCTTGCCCAGCGCCCTTCACCAGCTGGGCTTGGTCCCCTGACCACCCAGCAGCAGCCTCTCCTTTCCCCGGGTTCTGGTCTTGAGCATTTCCTCAAAGGAAATGCTTCTGGGATTGGAAAACTCAAAGCCCCTCTGAGTCATAAGGGAAAGTTACGAACTCTTAAATTTAGCTGAACACTAATTTTTGTAGTATTGACTCTTTTGTGATCTCAGTAAACTTGGTCCATACTGGAGGGCAGTCTCTGTCCTTGGTGTGGTAGAAAGGCCTGGGGGTGAGAACCCACACCAGACAGGCAGACGTGAAGCAGACACACGGGACCCATGCCAGACAGGCAGGCGCGAGGCACGTGGTTCTGAGGGCTCCACGGAGGCCCACTTGCCAGGCCTGCCCAGCCGCCCTCCCCCAGGCCTGCCCAACCACCTTCCCCTAGCCCTGAGAAACCGCCCCCTGCCACCTCCCCCCGCCACCCTCCCCAGCCCTGAGGGGTCTGTGGGCTCCTTGTCAGGAGCAGGTTCGGCTGCAGGTATCACCACTGCCTGGTCCAGCTATAGGCTTCTCTAGTATTAGCACCTCTGCCGCCCACAGTGCCTAGTGGCCCAGGCCCAACTCTGTCCCCATGTTACAGATGGGGACACTGAGCCACGGCCAGGACCAGTGACTTGCCGAGGTCACGGGCTGGGGTATTCCTGGCTGATTCCCGGGTTCTTGGCTTCCTGAGAGTGCAAGACGCTACATCTGTGTGGTGCCTGCAGCATCTAACGCTTTGGATACAGAACTAGTTTTCTTCCTCGTTTCAGTGACGTGGCACCAGCTGGCTTTTGCTGACCATTGTGGCAAGAGGCTGAGGCTGTGGCCTGGGTCCACCACTACTCTCTATTTTCCAGGGCAAGGCTGCAGCTCTACCGGACGAGGGACATGGGCTGGGGCGTGCGGTCCCTGCAGGACATCCCACTAGGCACCTTTGTCTGCGAGTGAGTGAGTCCCTGGGTCACCCCAAGCCTGCCGGTGGCACGTGTCATTTCAGAGACGCAGGCACATCCCCTGGCCTACAGCAGCGTGGGGTGGGCCGTGGAGACCCTGGCCTCGAGAACCAAGCTCGTGCTGTCCTCAGTGCTCTCGCTGCTGCCCTTAAACAGCTCATGAGTGCATTTAGGAAGGCGTGGTCCAGCATGGGCAGTCCTCTCTGGGGGAGGACCATTCTGGGTTCTCAGGTGCCAGACCGCAGATGCAGAGCTTTCAGTGTCGTCATCATCATCATCCTCGGGAACCTCAGCTGAAACCCCAGTTCAACCCGGGCACACGTCTCCAAACATGTTCCCCGCATGTTCTTCTGGTGTGCCCCGCTCTTTCCCTGTGGGCGCGGAGACCAGGCTGTGCTTGTCTGTGGGCAGTGCTCGCTGCCTTCCAGGGCCTCACCTGCACCGCTTCTCCCTCTGCAGGTATGTTGGGGAGCTGATTTCGGACTCAGAAGCCGATGTTCGGGAGGAAGATTCTTACCTCTTTGATCTCGACAATAAGGTAATGTGCTTTGTGGGGTTGCGGCCGTGTAGAGCTTGAAACCTGAATGTGTTTGTCCCAGTAGGGCCTGGATTCAGATGAGAGCTCTTACTGTTGACGAGAGTGGGCTTGCTATAGACCTGCTGAGTGCCACCTTCGGAGCTGGCCCTGGTTCTGTGCCCAGCATGGATGGAGGGCCCTCTGACTTGGGAGGTCCCTGAGCCTCTGCAGCTGACTGCCCCCTTCTTGTGAGAGTGGGGCCTGAGACCCACCACTCCAATCCTCCAGACCCCAACCGAGAATCTCGGGTTGGGGCTTGGCAACCCCTGAGACTGCAGAGAGGCTAAGGAGGGATGCCGTGTGTTCACAGTGACTGAGTGAAGCAGCAGTGAGCCTCCCGTCGTGTGCGCAGAAATGCCAGCAGACCCGTCGCTTGTGTCCCCAGCCCACCCAATCCCCACTGCCCGTGGGAGAGAGCAGGGGCCACTCCAGGAACCTGGTTTCGGGAGGTTTCTGAGGCTGGGGCAGGGGTGATTGACCCATCCCAGCCTGGCCTCATGCTCCCTTTACTATAGCCTAGTTCCCATCATTGCTCTGGAATTCATCCATTGTCTATTTTAAAACCTCTTGAAACCTGCAGTCGCTCCAGGCCAGTGGGGAAATAAAGGTTTTCTCATCTCAAACAGCAGCCACCAGACCACAGAATAAATCTTATGCCTGGAGAATAGGGCACCAGGCAGCTGTCTTCATAGCAGTGGCCGGCCCCTATGGACTGCCAGCCCCAACCCCAGACTCTGTCCCTACAGCCACCTTCTAAGAAGTAACCGTTGGTGAAATGACTTGTGTTTGATGGAAGAGAAGCCGGGCTCTGGAAGGTCACAGTGTTCAGGCATCTCTCCCTGTGCAGTGGGGCCGAGCCCTCGAGGGACGGCAGCCTCCGTGTGTGCATGCTCGTGTGCAGAGTTGTGGGGCTTTTCTGCTGCCAACTGCCTATTCCAGCCTTGCTGTGGAATGACTTGCCTTCTGTGGGCTGGTAACACATATTCTCACAAAGGCTCTGTTGTCACTTGTGTGCGCCACAGATGTCGCCTTCCCTCTGTGACTTTTTCACTTCCTAATGATGTCTTGGAGTGAACAGAAGTTCTTGTTTTTATTCTAGTTCCATTTATCAGTCTTTTTCTAAATACTGGGTTTTTGTAATGTCCTAGTGATATTTTTTGAAAACTTGAATATTTCCCAGAAACGGTCCTGTTTGCTTTCACGTGGGTTCTGTGTGTAGGTTGACAGCCGTTCTGTGTGTGGTGTAGGATCAGAGTCGAGGTTTATTTTTTCCCCATCTTGTTACCTGACTGACTCAGCACCATTTGTGGAGAAGACTGTCTTTTCCCCAGTCAGCAGTGGCTCTTGTCATAGCTCAGTGTCCTCGTCCTATCAGTCAGTCTGCTGACTGTTCGTGGCCTGGGCTGTGTTACCTTAATTACTTTAATTACTGTGATTTACATCTTCTCACCTTAGAGGTTTTTTTTGTTTTGTTTTGTTTTGTTTGAGGCAGAGTCTTGCTCTGTCGCCCAGGCTGGAGTGCAGTGGCACGATCTCGGCTCACTGCAAGCTCCGCCTCCCAGGTTCATGCCATTCTCCTGCCTCAGCCTCCCCAGTAGCTGGGACTGCAGGCGCCCGCCACCACGCCCCGCTAACTTTTTGTATCTTTAGTAGAGACGGGGTTTCACCGTGTTAGCCAAGATGGTCTCGATCTCCTGACTTTCATGAACCTCCCGCCTCAGGCTCCCAAAGTGCTGGGATTACAGGCGTGAGCAGCCACGCCCGGCTAATTTTTGTAGTTTTAGTAGAGATGGGGTTTCACCATCTTGGCCAGGATGGTCTCAATCTTCTGACCTCATGATCCGCCCGCCTCAGCCTCCCAAAGTGCTGGGATTACAGGCGTGAGCTACTGCACCTGGCCTTTTTTTTTTTTTTTTTTTTTTTTTTTAAGTGACCAGGTCTTGCTCCATTGCCCAGGCTGGAGTGCAGTGGCACAATCATAGCTTGCTGCAGCCTTGAACTCCTGGGCTCAAGTGATCTTCCTGCCTTGACCTCCCAAGTAGGTAGGACTACAAGTGTGCACCGCAATGCCCGGTTAATTATTTTATTTTATTTTATTTTATTTTATTTTATTTTATTTTATTTTATTTTTTGAGATAGAGTCTCGCTCCGTCCCCCTGGCTGGAGTGCAATGGTGCGATCTCGGCTCACTGCAAGCTCCGCCTCCCGGGTTCACACCATTCTCCTGCCTCAGCCTCCTGAGTAGCTGGGACTACAGGCGCCTGCCACCTCGCCTGGCTAGTTTTTTTGTATTTTTCAGTAGAGACGGGGTTTCACCATGTTAGCCAGGATGGTCTCGATCTCCTGACCTCGTGATCCGCCTGTCTTGGCCTCCCAATTCATGTAAGTTTTGAAGTCAGCTTAACCAGTTCTACAGAAGATCCTGTCGGGATTTGACTGGGATTGTATTAGACCAATCAATCAGGTTAGGGAAAAATGTATTTACTACCTTGTTTACTAGCTTATGAACATGGTATATCTCTTCATTTGTTAGGTCTTTCTTAATTACCCCCAGTAATATTCTATGGCTTTCTGTGGTGTGGTCTTGTATATGTTTTGTTGGAATTTTTTTTTTTTTTTTTTTTTGAGACAGAGTCTGGCTCTGTCGCCCAGGCTGGAGTGCAGTGGCCGGATCTCAGCTCACTGCAAGCTCCGCCTCCCGGGTTCCCGCCATTCTCCTGCCTCAGCCTCCCGAGTAGCTGGGACTACAGGCGCCCGCCACTGTGCCCGGCTAGTTTTTTGTATTTTTTAGTAGAGACGGGGTTTCACCATGTTCGCCAGCATGGTCTCGATCTCCTGACCTCGTGATCCGCCCATCTCAGCCTCCCAAAGTGCTGGGATTATAGGCTGGGATTATAGACCGTGCCCAGCCTGCAATTAATTTAAATACAGTAAAACAAACTAAAGTATATGGTTTTAGTTTTTACAAATGTACATCCCAGTGTAATCAATGCCACAGTCAAGATATGGAGCATTTCTGCCGCCCCCAAGTCTGTGAGCCCTCAGCCCCTCCTTCTCCCCTGCCTATCCTGGTGGGTGAGTTTCACCTGCATTCGAATTTTCTATAAATGGAATCCTGTTCTGGCTTTGCATGTTTTGTGATTTGCCCACATGGCTACACGTGTCAGTGGTTTGTTCCTTTCCGTTGTTGAACAGTGACCCACCCGGCCTCCCTGCTTCTCACCTGTGCGTGGGCCTCCGTCCTTTCCAGTTCTGCTGTCAAAAGTAAACCTGCTGTGACTCCCACAGACTTGTTTTTAATGGACGTGAATTTTTATTTCTCTTGAGTAAATGGGGGTGGAGTTACTGGCTCACATGGGGAACCTTTAACTTTGAAAGAAGTCGCTAGTTTCCAAAGTGGTTCTAGCACTTGCGTTCCCACCACAGTGAGTGCGAGCTCCAAACACTGTGGCTTAGATTTGCTTTCCTGATGCTCGATGATGAGGCTCTTTTCATGTGTGTTGCCATCCTTATACTTCTTTTGTGAAGTAATTTTTAAAATTTGCCTGTTTAGGCCAGGCGCAGTGGCTCACACCTGTAATCCCAGCACTTTGGGAGGCGGAGGCGGACGAATTACGAGGTCAGTAGTTCAAGACCATCCTGGCTAACACAGTGAAACCCCGTCTCTACGTAAAATACAAAAATTAGCTGGGCATGGTGGTGCACGCCTGTAATCCCAGTTACTCGGGAGGCTGAGGAAGGAGACTCGCTTGAACGTGGGAGGTGGAGGTTGCAGTGAGCCAAGATCATGCCATTACCCTCTAGCCTGGGCAACAAGAGCAAAACTCTGTCTTTAAAAAAAAAAAAAAAAAAAGCCTATTTTTCTTGTTGTTTGTTTGTTTGTTTATTTATTGAGATGGAATTTCACTCTTGTCGCCCAGGGTGGAATGCAGTGGCACAATCTCGGCTCACTGCAACCTCTGCCTCCCGGGTTCAAGTGAGTCTCCTGCCTCAGCCTCCTGAGTAGCTGGGACTATAGTCTCCCATGGCCACCATGCCTGGCTAACTTTTTTTTTTTTTTTTGAGGTGGAGTCTTGCTCTGTTGCCCAGGCTGGAGTGCAGTGGCTTGATCTCCACTCACTGCAAGCTCCATCTCCCGGGTTCACACCATTCTCCTGCCTCAGACTCCTGAGTAGCTGGGACTACAGATGCCCGCCGCCACGCCCGGCAAATTTTTTGTATTTTTGGTAGAGACGGGGTTTCACTGTGTCAGCCAGAATGGTCTCAATCTCCTGACCTTGTGATCCACCCGTCTTGGCCTCCCAAAGTGCTGGGATTACAGGCGTGAGCCACTGCGCCCGGACTATTTGCCTGTTTTTTAATTGGCTGCTTGCCTTCTTGAGTTGTAGGAGCTCTTTCCATCCTCTGAGTCTGTCTGATATACATATAAATATGTGTGTGATGTGAATATTTTCTTAGTCTGTGCCTTGCCTCCTCACTTTCTTAACAGTGTCTTTCAGGAAGCAGAATTTTAAAATTCTCTGACTTCCCATATCCTAAGAATTCCATGTCTACCCCAGGATTGTGGAGATTTTCTCCTTTTTTTAGAAGTCATATAAAAATGCAAGGCCGGACACACTGGCACGCTCCTGTAATCCCAGCACTTCGGGAGGCCGAGATGGAGTTTGAAGCTGCAGTGAGCCGTGATCGAGCCACTGCACTCCAGCCTGGCCTGTCTCTCAGAAATGTGGGTTTGAAGTAAGGATTGAGGCTCACTTGTGTCCGTGGACAGTTAATCCAGCACCACTAGTTGTGCCTACCCCAGCTGACGCAGATCTATGTCTGGACCATGTTTCTTCCTTTGATCTATTTGCTGATCCTCACACCAATGCCACATTCTCTTGATCGATAGTAAAACTGGGAGCCAGGCAGTGTTAGGTCCTCATACTCCTCATACTCGGTTCTTTTCAGACTGTTTCGCT